TGCACAAAGCCAGTTTTAGATTCGAGTCTTCATATCCTAAAAATGAACCACTGACTCTAAATGTACCTGGGATTGAAGAAGCTTAGTTGGACACCTGGTTCCCTGCCTTCTTTGCCCACCACCCTAAGCTCTGAGAGATGAGAGGAGCCTGGGTTGGGTTGTTCATGCATGCACTTAGCACAGTCCTCTCCCCGTGTGTGTAAGGTAAACCTGACATTTGAATTTCAGTTTGAAGTTACAAAAGTTTCAAAAATAGTCACAGAATTCTTGAGAATCATCTTCTGGCTGAGTCCTTTCTGACATTTAAGGAAACAAGTCTAGAAGGAGTCTTTCCCTAATTCTGAAAGAGATTTAGAAGTTTGATTCCCAAAGAAGCTGGTTATTATCAGGCAGATGCCCACACTAACTTTGACAGATAGCTGGGGATAGAGTAATAGGACCAGTGTGTTGAAATACACAGTTGTACAGTACTATGCAGGGCAAGACTGCCTGCAGGAGATCACCAAAAACCGTGTGTCACATCACAGAGTGATTCAGGCAGACCACCTGCAGCATTTATTGAGTTTCTACCATGTGTTGATCAAAATTGTGAAATCTACCAGCAGTTTTACAGGTGTATTCTGCACATGGGTGTATAGGAGGCAAACATCCACTGAAGTATGAGGAGCATCAACTTGTTACACTCATTTTAATCTCTTAAAAAGAGTCAGGTCATAGTTCTCAGTTTGTTTGGTCAACAAATTCACAAGCTTCTTGCCACTAGAAAATCCTTTTGTATTGGGTGAACGACTGTGCCATTGGATTTGTACTCACTCCCTGTCCCCTCCCGCCGCCTACTTTTCTCCATAGCCTCTATCACCTTCTAATATATCTCTTTGTACCAGTGATGAAAATGCAGGCTCTATGAGGGCAGTGATATCTATCTTTCTATACACTTTTTTTATTGCTTTTTTATGCCTAGGGTCAAGGTTAGTCCTGGCCATACAGTAGGGATATACTAAATGGGCTTCAGTGAGTGAATGAATAAAGAGTGGGAACTCACTCTGTGGAAGCCACCATGAATTGTAGTTGGGATGATAGGACTGAAGGGGCTGGGACATCATGACAGGATGGGGCAAGCCAGGACTTGGGGGCTGATTATGGTGGAATGGTCTCTAAGGTCCAGGAAAAGGGAGAGATCTTCAGTGGTCGAGATTAAGGATAACATCACAAGTGAGATGCTTTTGGTCTGGACAAAGTTACAAAGCATGCTTCTTGTCCTTTTGCAGGTATTTTTAAACATACCCTCTCCATCTCAAGGGCCCTGATTTCTGATCTGGTTGCAGAGAAGGAACGGCCAGTCATAATTGGACAGTTCAATACAGCATCCAGCGTGGGCTTCATCTTGGGCCCCATGGTCGGTGGCTACCTCACTGAATTAGATGGTGGATTTTATCTTACCGCCTTCATTTGTTTTTCTGTCTTCATTCTTAATGCTGGTAAGTTGACTTTTTTTTATTAAATGATAACTATATACATTAATGCAATTCTGGGGTACAGTGTGGTGTTTTCATATACAATTTGAAATATTTTTATCAAACTGGTTAACATAGCCTTCATGTCATTTTCTTACTGTGTCAAGACAATCATATCCTACTCTTAGAAAGATTCACTTGTATCCTTGTAAGATAAACCATAGAAGTATAAGTGATCCCTCTAATCACCCTCATTCCACCCATTCCCATCTCCCTTCCTCCTCCCCATATACTGAGGCTGTTATTAGGTTATAGATTTCATATGAAAGCTATAAATTAATTTCATAATAGGGCTGTGTACATTGGATACTTTTTCTTCCATTCCTGTGATACTTTGCTAAGAAGAACACTTTCCAGCTCCATCCATGTGAACATGAAGGATGTAAAGTCTCTACACCATGGAATACTATGCAGCCATAAAGAAAGTTGACATGTTTCATGAGAAGATTGTTTTGTGCATTCCTGCTGACCATTCCTCCTGCCTTACAATTTTTTTTCCCCAAGAGTAGTCAGACTCATCATCTGAAAATGATAGTCATCCCAAGGAACCTGTCTATTTTCCTAGTTATACCAATTTATATCCCCCCAGTAGTATATAGAGGTTCCCTTTTCTCT